TCGACTTCCCCTGTCTAGGTTTGGGCAACCAGGCAGTATCCCAACCCTTCGGGTGGCATGGCAGTTAGGCACCGAAAGGGTGTTACAGCTGAACAATTTCTTTTTCTTTCTTCGTCTGAACCTTTTCTGTACTCAACTAGCTACATAGTTTCCAACACCATAAAAAAGTCAAATTTTCTGTTCAAATTTGATAGTTTAAAACATTTAGGCCACAGTAGACTTTTGAATAGATGATGTTAGATCGATGTACCGTTCAAAGCAGCCTAAGTGATGATTTTTTACTTAATTTATGAGAATATCTGAACTCTGTGAGACTAGCTCCAACTTTTTCCCCGAGGGAGGACGAACTAAACTGGCTGAATGCCTCAGTTACCCGAATAAGATTATCTACATTTGAACGCTTCTGTAGCAATCATATCATGCATTACCCGAAGGACTTTTACACATCCAGAAGGTCATCGGTAGAGAGTGGCAACTTCAAAGTAGATTTTCTATGAATAATTCAATAACTTCAAAGCAGTACAATGAATATAACCTATTCAGATCAAATCTGAAAAATCTTTGTTCTCAAAAGTGAACAACTGCAAGAATTTATCCCCCCATAACCAAGGGGAATCAAATAAACTGTATGGGTTTTTTGCTGGGGTATTCACCAGCGATTCGGTGTCTGCACAGTTTTGGTAATTTCACTGACCGCCCAGTGATTTTAGCCCAGAGTGCAAAATGCAACCAGGAAGATAACCTGAAGGTTATTCGACACTACACAGCACCAAGTAGACAGGGGCGGTTGGTGTGCTGTCTGGAATAATAGCATACACAAATGTGGATGCCTAAGAGACGCTTGGTTCCACAATCTCCACTTCATAGCTCTTAAAACGAACCAAATTCTGGGTGACACGTACCAAACTGAGAGGGAGAATGTGAGCAGATTACCATGAGTTTGTGTAGTTGCTAAAACGATTTTTTTCTTTCATACTGAGGATTGAATTGGAGTCTATCGGTTGTCAGTGCGCTTCTCATATTCACTCGTTTGTAAGAGTTTCTCCTCCTCTAATATCAGGGATGTGGTATCCTTGTGTATAATAGCAAATTTGGTAAAATACGACACCTTGAACATTTCTGGGGGTTTGGCACAAAGTTCAACTAATAAATATAGCTGAATCTCACTTTCATTGAAAACTTTTCACTAGCTACATCCGCAGCGGTGTAATGTTAGCGTAATTCGTCAACCACAAAAACGACTGCCAAAACCGACGGTATAAAATTCCCGCCAGTTTTGGTCACAGTGAATCTTTTTCGTGATTGGAAAGACTAAACGCAGATCATTGGGATCCCGGCCAATAAGCGATGCTGGAGTCACGTGACCGAATGAGACCCAACGCAAATCCATTATACCGACGCCAAGCATGTAAGAAAACAGTTAGAAAAAAGTTTCCGGTTAAGTGAGCAACAGAGAGGTTTGTTCTGAGAGAGTTTACCGTGATCCTCGTGTAACCGCCCTTCCGGTAACGACTCCGTAACCAACACGATCAAATGGCTCCTCCAAGCCAAGGTGTATTGGTCCAAAGCACAGTTTTCTGGAAGAATCCCGCCGAACTTAGAGCTAGGTTGACGAAACCGTTCCCGCAATCGAGTAAGTGCTACAAAGGGATAATACTATCATAACTGATATCTTATGGATTTGCATCATCAGCTGGTTTCCTTTCAAACATCCATGAAGATCTACTCACAAGCTTGCTGAAAACTCTTCGACAGCCCACGACCGGTTTCGCCCTTCTTGGGGCTCATCAGGTAGGCGCAGTCCCCGAGTTTCCGTCAACCTTATGATCTACTTGAACCCAAATTGAATCATGAGGCGGCCTGTGTGCAGCACGTTCAGCTGGAGGACATCATAAACGGGAGATTCAATTAAGCCTCCCGTGAAAGCCAAATTGATTTGCAAATGAGTGTATTTCTCGAATCCATGAAGATCTTTCAAGTTGTGGGATCAGAGGTGATATCTTTTGCTACACCGTCAGACTGTTCTCAAGTTAGCCAATCTGGGAATCGCTGAGATAAATCAAAGCGTCAAATAGTTGAGACAATGTATGGGAACATGGGTCAGTATGCTTTGAGGTAACAAAACCACACAAATATTCAACTGTTTGGTGATTGAAAACATTTAAAATGGAGAAGCTACATTCATCGTTTTTTAGCTCACGAACGTTCGTTATAAAACTTACGTCATTTGGTCCTGCGTAGTTGATCCAGATTTAAGTCTGACAGTTCCTCGACAGGTCCTTCACTGAAGGAAAAACTAGGTGGGCTAAGGGTGCTTGTGTATTGTACAGGGACCGGAAATCCTAAAATTGGGACAAGAACAGTAAGGTAATACTGTGGAATAAAAACCAAAAAGTATTCTCTTGAACCACATAGCCACCATCACTCCATCCTACACAACGCGTGTTGTTCACGTCGGGCCTCCAAAGGATTTAGAAAGATGGCACTGGATCTTACACAAGGCAGCCTAGTTTCATCTTCTTCTGTTCTCTCCTAGGGTTCCATTTCCATTTATCCAACCCTGATGGCTGTTTTCTGCTAGTGTGTTTGTTTTGCATATAAATTAATGTTAATAGCGTGAATTTTAGGTTGGTTAACTTTTAAGCTGGCCGGTAAATGGCCTATCGTAAATCGTTGTTGCTACTCACGTGCTTGGCAGTGCATTACCTAGTGGCAGACGATTATAGTGTACGTGGGCATATCATAAATCCGTCTTCTTCTGTTCTCTCCTAGGGTTCCATTTCCATTTATCCAACCCTGATGGCTGTTTTCTGCTAGTGTGTTTGTTTTGCATATAAATTAATGTTAATAGCCTGAATTTTAGGTTGGTTAACTTTTAAGTTGGCAGGTAAATGGCCTATCGTAAATCCTTATTGTTACCCACTTGGTTGACAGTTCATTTCCTAGTGGCAGACGATTATAGTGTGCGACGGCATATCATCTCCTCACAATGTTGCTGAAATCCCTATAAAGGCCCACGACCGATCTCGCCCTTCTTCATCAGGAAGGCGTAGCCTCCGCCAATCTTTTGTTCTGCTTGGGTTTTTGGGACCTTCTGATAGTAACTACAGACGCATATCGGTTTTCCATTCGGAGTTTGAAACCTGCAGCCTGATGAACACACAGTGTTGGTAACCATAGCCTTACTAAAAGGATCACTCCAGAGAATACATTTAAATATTTTTACACAGGTGAACTTTTCCGAAAAGTTCCATGAAAATCTTCGTGGAAAATACCACTGATGATGTGCCAATAATCAAGTCCAGTTTAAGTAACCACTTCCGTTTAGTCACCACAAGGCTACTGTTAACCGGAATGATGATCAGTTCTGACTCGCCTTGCACCGAGTTCCCAGAGTTTAAAGTGTGGGAAACGCTTTTAGGGCAAGTCCAAACCAATTTTAGTGTCAGCGTAGTTCAGGGTCTGAAATGTCTCTTGTTATTTATCACTTGGACTTGTCCTATGTGCACGTTCCACATTATACATGTCAACGGTTATTGTTATGCTATATGAAGGGTCACATCCCCAGTTTCTTCAGGGCACTCAGTTGTCTGAAAGAACACCGAAGGGCTTTTTAACCGGGCAGTACGCGACTAGGTGTTGCCAGGCTGAAACGTCATTTCTTCTACGCATTGCCGATAGTAAACGGAAAGCAGTCGTCTTGTGATATTCTAATATGTGAATTGGATGTGGTCGCTTCCCCTATTCCAACAGAAATAAAATCAAAAACTACCCGAGATCATCCAATGCTAATGTCAAGTGCAGACCCCTTTTTGCAACATACGAACAGGAAACCAAGCCATCTGGAAAGTCCAGATCTCACCTCTCATCACCAAATCGCCTTGTCTCCTTCTGTCACTTCTGTGAACACATTGTTTTGGAACGGAGTGACACAACTAGGACTAATACCTGGGTTTCAGTCATTCTGCTGTGCCGTAAAGAAACTAATCAAAATTCCTAGTTAAAAGTTTTTCCGAAATTGCACATGCCTAGTCGTATAACAGCGATGTTTGCAAATAGATGCGACTGAGTCTAAGAAACAACCATTGAAGAGTTCATATCCAGCAATTAACATGCAGGAGAATATGGCCTACCTGAAATCCACCCAAATATTAGGTCCCTGATACCCGAGTGCCTCGTTAAGATGAGGAACAAATGCTTTCATCAAATGTGAACATCTTTACTCGTTTTCTTCCAGTGTTCGCCGTGTCAAGGAAGGAAAACCAATCGATAAAAACAGAAGCACAGCTACTAAGTCTTATGAACTCAGAGAGTTTGTTGTTGCTTCGACTTTAATATCCAGATTTAAGGTTTGATGTAAACAACCGGACTATGGCGATGCTTAAAGGGTACATTGGCTCCACAGTATAATCCATTTTTTATCCAATTCCCCACTATTGTTTATTACTCACCTGTTCACGAGTATACCTAGACATCGGTGAGTAATATTACTTCAATCGGTCTGATATCTGCGATTTCGAAATATCCCCCTTTAAGAATGCTAAAGCATTCGACCTCGAGCAGATGTGATTAACCCATACTTACATTTCACGACACAACTGGTTCAGATATTTTTTACAGATAGGAGGGAGTCTTCACTGCTCGTCAGAATATCACTAGAGTTTCACGAAGTGTCCGCTGCTGGTGATTTTCAACAGGGATGAACCGGTACTTCACCATAGACGGGCTGTGATAGGAGGGTGATATCTTGATTGAAACTCGGAATTTCATCACATCCCACACACATCGATTGTACAGAAGCAGTGGCAAAGGCTATTACGACGTCCTAATTCTGTCGTCGACTTGTCAGAGTAAGCGATCAATAACTGGTTGGTTGCTGATCAGCAAATAAATTGTGGAGACCATTGAAACTTTGAAAGCCATGCTGACGTCGGTCAATCTTATGAAAACAGTGCCTGCTGATTGTAGCGTAACGCCCAACAAGTGGTGCGGTTGAGAAAACAGATTTATAAACCTTCCGGTTTCCTATCAAGCTTATTCATTTTAAACGCTACTGGTGACTTACTTGAATGTGGTTTTTACTGTAAATGTGAATTGTTTACCGTTTTGTCACGTCGGAGGCTGTTACGCCCATCCTGTAGGTGCGCTGCAGGCCACGCCCTTCACCGATCTTCAGATGGAAATAAACAATTGTTGACCTTTTATGAACGAAACGTTGGTGCAAATTTCCAACA